TCACAGTGTTCCCTCACTGCTGCCTCTGCAGTCCACACATCACACAGGACTGACCACCGCCTCACTTCACAGTGTTCCCTCACTGCTGCCTCTGCGGTCCACACATCACACAGGACTGACCACTGCCTCACAGTGTTCCCTCACTGCTGCTGTTTTTCTGACTGAGACCGTTGTTTCCTGTGGTTTACGCCCATGCTAACAGTAGTCTGTAGAGTGCAGTGAATATACTTGCCTATAAAGTTTAGAGGTTCAAGTCTTCCCAGAGGTGCCTCAGGAGAAAGGCCCAGTGATTTACTCTTGAAAAATTTAACACTGCAAACGTGGGAACACAGTTCTACTCTCTCACATACTAGTCACTGACACTTGGCATTGATTCAGTGACAAACAGCTTTTTTTAAATTATTATTTCATTACTTTTAGTGAACATTTACAGAGATTTTGGGTTTTCATTCATTCATTGTTGCACTGTTTTCTCTACCCTCCTCCCCAGTTCGTTCTTTCCCCCCCCCTCCCCGAATGTCTGTTTTAATGTTCCTTAAAGACTAACTTTTTTTCTTCCTCACTTAGCTTTCTCCACCTTATTAAATAGTTAAGATTCAGGAGTAGACATTAATTTCAAAAATATTTAACCTTTATATTTCATTTATGTGTTCTTTTCATACCTGTTTTGAGGATGATAATACATGCTTGGAAAGTTAGAGCGTGAGTAAAACGGGAAGATCATTAACATCAGTGGCTGCAACAATGGGCTTAAGCAAGGTAAAGATACTGATGGCGGCTTAGCATAGGGCGGGGTTCAGATCTGTGGGCCATATCGTCAGCCTGGTGGCACCAAATCTCAACAACAATACTGCTGTGAGAATTTTCCATTCTATACACTTTCCATCTGTTGGATTTGCTATTCCTAATCCCAACAATTCCTCACTCAGAAAGACTGAAGTCTACAACAACAAAACCAGAATTTTTCATTTGATGCAAAACATATCCTTGGTGTTTGTGTGTGAACCAGCTACTTATTTTCCTGGCCCGATGTGGGGGATGTGTTTTACAGAGATTGGAGAGTAGAGAACTTAGATGTTTTTCCCCTCCCTGAATTCTAAGTAAAATTTAGCTTCTCCATTCCTCCTTATTCCATTAAGAACAGAAACACATTGTATTTCCCGATTTTATAGTTCTATTAACTGTGAGGGTGGGCTAGACACGCTCATGCATACTACATGGAAGCTGAAATAAAGTTAATGTTTGAAGAAAGAACATCAATTCTAAATCTGGCTTTAAGTCGGGTTTTGTTTCATTTAGGTTTTGGTAAGAATCCGGCATGGCACCTTCTATCAGCTGTAAGTATTTCTGCAGTTTCAAATTATTGGTGGTATCAGGAAAGGAGCAAACTCTAACACCATTTAATAATAAAAAAGACCTGTTTTTAAAGCAGAGAGGAAAGAAACCAGGATAAGGAATTCACAGATGCCTCACATGGGGAAAATGTTGAGACAAGCGTGACTGTCATGTGCCATCCCGTCAGAACCGACTCATAGCTGACCTAGCAGCTTTTCAGAAGCTGTGAATCGCATGGGAGGAGATTACTTATCTTTCTTTCATGGAGCAGCTGGTGGATTCGAACTGCCTGCCTTTGGGTCAGCACATCTTCATTCTCCTCATGACTACCTTCTAGAATCAGAATCTTAAGTGGGTATTCACCTTCGTTTGGTAGAACGGTGTAGGTCGTTTCCATTCCGGCGTGGATGTGATCGGTCACGTGGCAGTGGAGGAGCCAGGTTCCGGGTGTGGTTGGGAACATTTCCAGGGCTTGGTATGTCCCAGGAAAAACGTCAAAGACGTCAGAACTATACATGCCCCTGAGCTTGATTAGAGAAATGACAAATACTTATTATATGTGACAGTTCATGGAAACAGTCTTACATTGGCCAGTTCAAGGGTGTTAGAAAACTAGGGTAAGTCCATTTAAAAAACCACAACCACACATTTCTGTGTTTAGACAGTGGGTATGCGTATTCCCTCTAAGCCCGTGACACTGGATATCAAGTGAGTATGACGGAGAGAAGATGTGATAGAATGAATCCATCCACCGGAATCTCTGACAACATCTAATCCCGGTTTAGCTTTCTCAGAACACTTGTGTTAAACTGGGACATTAGCTGTGGCTCCATTTCAATCTCACCCTAGTTTTTCCCAGGCTGTCTTAAAATTGCTGTAAGACTTAGGGGCAGGAAGGGTGCTGGAGAAGCCAGAAACCTGAGACAGTTGGGGAATAGTAGGAAAATTGATGCCTTCCCACTGTGGTTCTGGACAAGAATATTGAATTGAATTTACCCTGGACTGCTAGGAGAACAAACAGGTTCATCCTAGAGAGGGTGAGACCAGGCTGCTCCTGGGAGGCAAGTATTCTTAAGCTTTGTTTAACATACTTTGGACATGTTGCAAGGAGGGACCAGTCCTTGGAGAGGGACATCATGTTTGAAAGCATAGAGGGACAGCACAAGAGAGGAAGACCCTCAATGAGATTCAGTGACCAGGGTAATGAGGGTGTGTGGGTTCAGAGCTGCTGTACATAGCGTTGCTATGAGTTGCAGACGACTCCACAGCACATAACAACAGAGACAGAGGTGATGTTGATTGCTGTCAAGTTCGTCCCACTCACAGCTGACCTTCCAGTGGGTTTTCAGAGGCTATAACTTGTAGGGGAGGAGATTGCCCATCTTTCTCCCTCAGAGAAACTGGTGGATTGGGTGGGCAGCGTAGCTCCTGACCACTAACCCCCAGAGCTCCCTAAAGACAGCAGTTGGGGGTATTTCTCTAGGAAGAGAAGTGTCCACTAATTATACAACAAAATACCTAACAAAATAGACTTCTGTAGTTTGAAGTTTGTTTGCTTTGTTATTTAGTTCCTAAATACAACTTTAGGCTCCTGCTGAAATAGTAATACTTAAGACCTACATCAGTAAGATCTTTCACTAGCAAAGTCAGAGTCTCACTCACAGGCTGCTTAAGAAGCAGAGTTTAGAACAATGAGGGCAAGGGTTGGAATAGTTTTGTCTGCTCTCTCTAGTTCTCTGACGTGCTATTAAGGAGGTAGCCTTTACCCTCTGCTAGCCAAGTCCATTCTGATCTCTTACTGTGGAATACCTGAGCAGAGCTCCACGAAAGTCCACTAAAACGAGTAAATTCAAAGCCCCCGTGGTGGAACAGACTGACAGTGCGACGTGAAATGGTCCCATTCCTTTTGGGATTGTAGTGCAGCGCAGCTTCTTACCACTAAACCACCAGAGCTCAAGCCCCATACTATTTGAAAGCAGTTGTCTCTTGAAACTTCCAATTTTTCATAGTCTCTCTGAGGAAGTATTTTCTTCCCTGGCTTGAGAATATTTTCAGGCCGAGCAAGAATAATTGGCAAGGATGGCTCTTACCTTGTACTGGAAGCTGTGGCCGTGGAAATGCACACTGTGCAGGTCTATCTCATTGCCCATTCCTATCAGATACCAGTTGACTTCATCTCCTGTGTACATGGTGAGACCTTCCAAGTTGCCAAACATTCTTCCGTTGATTGCTGTGGAATGCACATGATTTACATATTACCTTTTAGGATATCCTAATCTAATAGCTGCTGTATGGAAAATAGGACTATTAGAATAACGTATAAAATCTTTTTTGAAGGGAGCTCTGGTGGCCTACTGGTAAAAGGCTGCACTGTCATCCCAGAGGCGCATGGTTCAAATCCACCAGATGCTCTGCTGGAGGGGCAATCTCCTCCTGTACCGTCAGATCTGATTTGACGGCACACACACATAAAATAATAAGAAAATTTTAAAAAATATCTTCTTTGAGGTAATGAGGCATTTTATTACATGAGAAAGTAAGTTATCTTAATTTTATATTTTATTAATTTTATATTTTCTTATATTATGCTCTCTTAATTTTATCTTATATTTTGTTAAATGGAAAAATAAGCTATCTTAAGGTTAATGAAGTCACACTGCTATTCTAGCCAGTTAGCCCCCAAAAGTCTTCATGCTAATTGTAGATTTAAAAGGGAATGATAGCCTGAAATTGAGAGAAATTAGTTGGTTGTCAACATGTCCCTTTTTTTCCAAAAGAAAAAGGAAAAAAGGGAAACAAACTTAAAAAACAAAATGAGGCAGAAGTTTATTTTAAAGAGAAACATAAGTTGTACAACAATGAAAGAATTTTTTCAAAGAGAAAAGTGGACTGGGGGGAGTGGGCAGGGAGGAAAATATAAATGAATAAATAGAAATCCAAGTTCTCTATAAACTTTCATTAAAATATCAATTAAAAAATCCTTGCCAGGGAGCCCTGGTGGCCTAATGGCAAGAAGCTGCACCACAATCCCAGAGGTATGTGGTTCAAATCCACCAGGTGCTTTGCTGGAGAAGGAGGGGCAACCTCCTTCTGTACCTGTCAGATCTGATTTGACAGTACACACACACAAAATAATAAAATTTTTAAAAAATCCTTGCAAAAAAGGAAACATAGGAATAGCCTTAAATTTATGTGATGGAAAGGATTAGGAAAGGAAGGAATTAACCAAAGAATGTCTCCTCATACCATGCATTTTGTTGCTCTCGATGAATTCCTCGTTGTCCTTGTCTACTTTATCAGGCTGATCAGAGTATGTTCTGATGTTGTCATCTAAGTACCAAGATTCGTTCTCATCAAAAACTAGGAACAGGAGGGAGAATTCCCGTATCTTTATGGGATTAAATACTTTTAAGTAGTGTGTCCGGCAGACAATCAGTGGGCCAATTAATCCACTATAGAGATCCTGAAAACAAGCAGAAACTTCAGTTACCCATATGATGCAGGTCACGATGTCAGAAAACCGAGACTTGATTGTTAGAGCCTCAGGAATGTTCGAGGGATGGATTTAAGTAGTAGATCTTTCCTAGACTGGGCCTGTCAAGTCTGTAAATTTGCTCTTATGAAAGTTAGAACTGGTGAGTGGCAGATAGGCCATGTGAGTCATGGTGAAGTGAACAAAGAGGTGCAGGCTTCAGAAATTGGCTTAGCTAATGAGCAGCATTTGATCTTCAAATGAATACTGTGGGTCTAATAATTGAACATTCATCAGCGTCCCTCTAAGCCAAGCTCAATGCTGGTCACTAAGAATGCAGAGATGAATCCACCAATGCTCCTATCTTCCAGGACCTCAATCTCGCACACAAAACAGAAAAGTAGAAGTGAAACCCTCATCAACCATGGAGGCAGATGTAGTGCTAACAGGCAGATAAGAGACTTGAATCTGCAAGAGGTTTGATTTAAAGTTTGGGCATCAGAGGTGGCAGATAAGAGCTTAATGAGCCCTTAAACTATGGCATATTAGGGGATTTTAGATGTTATAGGAAATAAGTTGTCATTGAAATAACAATGGACTGAGCTCTGTGTGGAAGCTGATTGTCTGGAGGAAATAATGGTAAAGAAGTAGGTGCTTGACCTCACGGTTTGACTTGGAGAAATGGGTAATGTGGTACTTGGGAGGTGCTAGGCTTGCTGAATATGCAAAGCCTGTGGGACAAGCTGGTGGAGATGTCCAGAAGGCAGGTGGATCAACGGGCCTAGCACTTACGAGAGAGGTTTGGAACATGGATTTAATTCTACAAAGCAGTCTTAACATATTTAGTTTGTGGTGATTCTTGAGTGGTTTATTAACGGAAATATTTAACTCAACAACTTCAGTTGGGCAGTGATTGTTGAGCTCAGCACTTTCATTATCATGTAACAGTACTTTTGGATTTATATATTCCAGGGTTTGTTTTTTAAAAAAATTTAATGTATTTTCACATCAAAAGAGAAATAATTCTGTTGGTTACTATTTAATTTCTGTGTCACTTGCTATCAGCAGTCATGTTGTTGTTGTTATGTACTGTCAAATCACCTGCAACTCATAGTGACACTATGTACAACAGCCCTAAACACTGCTCTATCCTCTGCCAGTCTCACTGTCTCTGATACACCTACCTCCATTACCCCAATCACTGAATCAGTCCATCTCATTGAGGGTCTTCCTCTCCTGTGCTGTCCCTCCACCCTCCCAAGCATGATGTCCCTCTCCAAGGACTGGCCACTCCTTGCAACATGTCCAAAATATGTCAGATGGAGCTTCAGAATCCTTGCCTCCAAGGAGCAGCCTGGCTTAACACTCTCCAGGACCTTGAGTCAGCAGTCATAGTTTGGTTAAAATTGTATCCTTCCTTAACAAAAAACTGAAAACATGAAACCAAAATGGATTGCAGAGTAGTTTATTTTCCTGGGTTAACTCCAAACCTATCTTCCTTCAATTGTGTATCTATTTTGAGAATTGACAAAGCACAGATGACTTTAAGTTTACCTTGACTTGATCCACAGTTGAATAGTAAGCCCACGGAATACAAGCCAAATCCTCTCTTCCAGCTCCAGATCTTTCTGGGATTTTCCATATATAAGTTCGAGTTTCACCTAAATTGTTAATGTATCTGGTTATAATTAGTGTATTTTTTAATTGGTTTGCATAAGCCATTTATATACATTGTGTTTTATACATGTACTATGTGTTTTACATAATCATTCATATATAGTGTATTTTATATAATTAATTATGATTGTTCTATGCTTATTATCAGCCTGTCTTTTTAAGTCCCCATTGAAGCTTATCCACTATTTCACCCCATCCGCCCACTAACCTCTGCTATCCCATTGACTTCTCCCCTTCCCCTTTCTCTGCTTCTCTTCTCCCCTTCCCTTCTTGAACATTCATACATCTCTTACCCATTATCCTCTTGTTTTCACAATAGTGGCCTTAGGCAACATTTGTCCTTATGTGACTGAGATATTTCACTCAGCATAATGCTCTCTATTCTCTCCCAAGTTATAAAGTATTTACAAAATTGTTGTTCCTTAGTGCTGCATAGTATTCCATTGTGTGAATGTACCACAATTTCTCAATCCATTTTTTGAGGTATTTTTAAAAAATTTTATTTTATGTTGGTTTGCATACAAAATTCATATACATCATGTTTCATTCATGTGTGTTGTATTGTACACATTCCTTCATTGTGTTTTGTACAGTCATTCACACACACTGTGCTTAATAAAATAAGCCACCGTTGATTTATGCCACCATTTATCCTATCTTTTCAAGACGAGGGCAAGGTTTTGATCTGTTGTTCATAGAGTTGCTATAAGTCATTGTTGTTGATTGCCGTTGAGTCGAGCACAACTCATAACGACCATATGAACAAAAGACCTGAAGCCTTTCTATAACTATCGTCATTACTCAAAATACATAAGAGTTTCCAGAGGCATGTTGTTTAGGAAGTGGATGCTACTTCTGCTTACAAACTTGTCGTAAACTGGGAGTTCCACCAAACACTGTCCACCATGAGCAACTGTTATGGCATTTGACACCTCAGTGATACAAGGCTGAGCATCACAGCAACCCCAGGTTATCTCAGTACAGCACATTAACAGAAAAGTGCCGTACCACTTAGAAGGATGTTCCTCCAAAATATAGTAACAACCACCTTATAAATACAAAGGCCTCCACGAAGTCTTGTTGACTCTAATCAAGAGGCTTAAATAAAAACAACCGATATATTGATGTTGCTGGGTTCAGTTGGTTCGCCTGCTACCCATAGCAACCCTGTGTACAGTAATACCATTTGGCCCAGCAATGCCCCTGCTGGGAATATACCCTAAAGAAACAGAACCACCGTCCAAACAGATACCTATACACCCATGTTTATTGCTATGTTATTTACAATAGCAAAGAGATGGAAACAGCCCAAGTGCTCATCAGCGAATGATTGGATAGAAAAACTATGGTATATTCATACAATGGAATACTGTACAGCACTTAAAAACAAGGAGCTCATAAAATATTACACAACATGGGGGACCCTGGAGGACAGTATACTGAGTGAAATGCCTCAGTCACAAAAAGACAAATACTGCATAACACCATTGTTATAAAACAGGACGGACTTGGGGGGTTGATGGAAACTAAGAAAAGAAGGGACAAATAATGAATACTGCATTGCAGCAGAGGAAGGAAAGATCTGTTTAAAAGGAATATATGATTAGGCATTTGGACAGCAACAGCCCAGAATAAGAGGTACATGGCAAAGAGGACTGGAGAGAAGGGGAGAGGTAGCTAATTGTGCAACAATGATAGAATTTTTTTAAAAAAAACTAGGGAAGGGGGAATGGAAGGAGATGGGGTAAAATGTGCAAAAATGAATGAAGGAAAATCTAAATTTTCTGTAAACTTTTGTTAGTAGAAAAATTAAAAATTTTATTCAAAACAAGATTAGGCAACCTGGGGGACCCTGGAGCATATCATGCTCAGTGAAATATCTTAGTCACAAGGACAAATATTGTGTAGCACCACTGTTACAAAGCAGGTCTGACATGGAAGGTTGGGAGGAGACTAGGACAGAGAAATTGGAAGATGTGAAGGAAAGAAATGTTTAAAAGGAATACATCATTGGGCATTATATGTATGAAAATATCCCAGAATAAGAGGTACTCATTGCAAAGAGGACTGAGAGGAGGGGGTAGGTAGGTAATTGTGCAACAATGAATGAATATGGGGAAAAATTGAATTGGGGTGGGGTAAGGGAGGAAAGGGGTAAAAAGTGCAGCCATGAATGAAAATCTAACTTCTGTAAACTTGTTAGAATCACAGACTTTTATTTTAAAAAAAACATGCTGACGAGGTTGTGGAGAGATTGGAACCCTTTTTTTCACTGCTGATGGTTCAATATAAAAAAAGTGGTAATATGGTTCAACTACTAAGGATAGCAGTTTGACACTTTTTTCCCTATTGTAAATAATGCAACAATAAACATGGGTGTGCATATATCTGTATGGTGGTTCTGGTTTCTTTGGGGTATATTCCCAGTTGGTATTGCTGGGTCAAATGGCATTTCTATTTCCAACTGAACATTTGATCTCCTTTTCATTCTGATCTGGCTTTGGGCCTTTTGCTATGTCTTATGTACAATAGACACAAGGCCTAGAAAGCTCTTCCTCACAATTACCATACTCATAGAATTGGGTTTCTAAAAATTGGTGAAAAAAGGAGAACTGAGGCACAAACAGAGACTTGTCTACACCAGTGTTGATAGCAACATTATTAACCATCACAAGAACATGGATACAGCCCAAAAGTCCAACCACATTCAAATGGATTGAGAAATGATGGTACATTCACACAATGGAATAGTATGCAGCACACAGGAAGTTGGATGTTGTAAATTAGTACCTAAATTGGGAGGGACTGAAGAGCATTATGCCGAGTGAACTAACTCAGTTCCCTAAGGATAAATACTGTGTAAAACCATTATTGTAAAATGAATGTGAGGATCCAAAAAGAGGAGGAGGAGGGTGGACGCAGAGGAGTGAGGTTGGGACGTGTGTGTGTGTGTGTGTGTGGGGTGGTGGTTAACCATAGGGCTGCACAGTTTCATGAGGGGGGAGTGAAGTAAATAGAAAAGATCCAGTGTGAAAAACTATGTATTCAAACTTTGTAAATAAACCAGTATAAAACATAAAAAGAAGTCATTTACATTGTGTTTCATTAATATACATTGTGTCCCATTCAATCCCTTATTTACATTGAGTTTCATAACATTCATATACATTGTATCACATATAATTAATTACCATTGATCTGTGCCTATTATTATACCATCTTTCAAGTCCCAATTAAATCTTTCCCATGCTCTCCCTCTCCCCTCTGCTATCCTAATGATCTCTACCCTTCCCCTTTCCTTTTCTCCTTTTGGACATTTATACGTATCTTACTAGTTATCCTTCAATTGTACAGCAGTGGTCTAATGCAGTATTTTTTCCTTATGAAATGGAGTTAGTTTACTCTGCATAGAATTGTTTTTACATTCACATATTTCATAAGAATGTGAGGACTGTGGAGGAGTGGAGTCAGGATAGAGGTTGGTTTTATCTTTTTTCTAAAAAAAATATTTTACACAATGGAATACTCTACAGCATTGAAAGACAATGAACTCATTAAATATTATACAAAATGGGTGACCCTGGAGGACATTATGCTAAGTGAAATATCTCAGTCACAAAAGACAAATATTGATAGGGCCACTGTTGTAAAATGGGACTGACTTCGGGGTTGAGGAAAGACAGAAGGAGAGGAAGAATGATGTATATTGCATTGAAACAGATTAGGGAGAGAACTGTTTAACAGGGATATATATAATTGTTGTCATGACAGGAGTCCAGAATGAAGGCTGCACAGTGGAGTGGACTTGGGGGGGAGGGACAGCATAACAATGAAAGAGTTATTCTTCTACTTTTCAAGAAGAAGAGTGAATTGGGGGACAAGGGGGTGGATAGGGAGGAAAGTGCAACGATGAATGTATGGAAACCCTAAGTCTCTAAACTTTAATTAAAATGAATTGAAAATTTTATTTTAAATTTATTTGCATACAAAATTCATATACATTGCATTTTACACATTCCTTCATTCACGATGTGTTCCAAATGATTATCCCCATTTATTGTGTTTTATAAAATGAATCATCATTGATCTATGCACACTATGACCCTGTCTTTTCAAATTCCCACTGAATCTTTCCAAATTCCTCTCTCCTGCCCACAAACTCTGTGATCTCATGATTGTCCCCCTTCCCAACCTCCATCCCCCTGCCCTTACCCCTTCTCCCTTTGAAGTATATCCACATCTTGCTAGTTATCCTTCTGTTTTGACAACAGTGGTCTTAGGCAGTGTTTGTCCTTCTGAGACTGAGTTGTTTCGTGTTTTAAAACAAAACCTTTTCTGCTAGATAAACTGAAACAACTTTATGGAGCAATTTTCTTTTTCTTCCTTGATATAAATGATAATTTCAAGTTAATGTGGAGAAATGGTCCTTTCCTAAAAGCTGTCTTTATAACAGGAGAAAAATACCTCTATCACTGAAGAAAACACACACCCTTCTGTATAATCTACTTTAGCTTTTAATGTGTTGACTAAAGACATGTTACTTGCGCTCCTAAGTGTATGCCACATACTAGCCTATACACTGGGGATTTATAACTCAGAGTGTATCCTCGAGTGCCTAGCAGTGTGGGAGACAGGCATGGGACCTTGAGCCACAGGGCAGGGAGTTAAGTGTGGACATACATTACAGCTGAGGTGTGAAAGGACATCTCTGTGCTCACTCATTTTTTAGTATCTACAGCTGTCCACTAACATACTTTGGACATATTGCTAGGAGGTGTTATTCCCTGGAGACGGACATGATGTTGGGAAGGGTGGAGGGTTGGCGAAAGAGAGGAAGACCCTCAACCAGGTGGATTGACGAAGTGACTGCTGCAGTGGGCTCTTGTGTGTCAGGGGGTGTGAGGATGGCACAGGACAGGACTGTTTTCAGATCTTTTGTTCACAGGGTCACTGTGAGTCATGCTCAACTTGATGGCACCTAACAACAACAACAACAACACAACAAGAAGCTGTCCACTACCATCAGACTTTCGCTCATGGCTTTCCTGTATCACACCTCCTTGCATCTGGACAACCATCTGAGTCTTCACTGCCTCAAGATAGACTGTGGTGTTGTTGTTAAGTGCCGTCGAGTCACAGGCGACTCATAGTGACCCTATGAAGGAGAGTCCTCGACGCTTGGATGCCTTTCATCCTCTCTCCAGGTTCATAGGGTTTCTGGAGGCAAGCTATTATGGAAGTGGACTAGATAAGAATATTTCTATAGTAACAGACAAACATGCAAAGTTACTAAAGTTCATCCCCTCCACCCCCCACATGAGTACCTGGTAATGTCGGAAGAACTGTAGAACTGTCTGTCTTCACTCCGTGCGCATGTATTGAGTATGGCCTTGTGGCCATGTTTTTAAAGATAATTTTGACGATGTCTTTTACATCTGCATGAAGTTGTGGACCTGGGAGAAGTGAAGAGATAAAGCAGCTTTAACTACCTGTCAAACTAAGAGTTCTAACTCTGTAATAAAAGCAGAGGTCAGGTGGTGTTCTCAGCCTGAAGGCCAGTTGTCCTTTTGCTTCTGTCTTCATGCTGTAGTTAATACGGGATTTTTGCCTGATCCCTGAGGGCTTGTAATACAAATGCTAGAATTGGTTGCTTCTAAAAATGGACTACAGATGTCTTCTCTTATGAAGCCAAGTGCTAGCCAGCAAGTCACCTTCAGAATCTCATTTAATCACGGTGAGCCCTGCTATGACTCTACCCCAAGGAGCATTTTGTAGCACTTGCTCGTTTCTGAGACCACTGTGTTTCTCTACCTCCGTCTCAGAAACCAGGGTTCTGCGCGAATCGAGTACACCAACTTCTCCAAGACTAAATGATGGGCAGTCTCCTAAGAGATTTACAGCTTTGCAGACCCACTAGAGGGTCAGCTATGAGTCTGTTCTGATTCAGTAATGGCAACGAGGTGAGGACTCTGTTTGAAATTACAAGTCACTTCTTCTGTGTGTGTTCTTCCACTCAGTTACAACTCACTTCCTACTGAGTAGTGATCTGGGAATGATACAATTTCACCCCTTGGGTTTAGGAGCCCAGAATATCCAAACTTCACAGGGTGGAGACTCTAGGAATATGGAAACTTGGGAGATTCTGGATAGAGGGTTGTGTTTTTGGCAGTTGATGATTTCAGGAACATTCCCGAGGCCACTGTTTACTTCATTTTTAACAGTCTATCATAAAGTTAGAGAGCTCTGGTGGCCTAGTGGCAAGAAGCTGCGCTGCAAACCCAAAGGCATGCAGTTCGAGGCCACCAGCTGCCCCATGGGAGAAGGATGGACAGTCTCCTCCTGTGAGATTAACTGCCTCTGAAAACACACTGCAGAGTCAGCTATGGGTCAGTTCTAACTCAATGGTACAAGACAACAATCATAAAATTATTCAAGGGAAATTTAAGGCAGTTTTCTCCCCACCCTGTGCACACTAACTCTTCTCTATTTCATATATATATATATATATATATATATATATATATATATATATATATATATATTCTTACATTTCTATCTTAAAAGGCAAATAGCTACTATGATCCTTTAACATTTGGCGAGGAGAATGATGGAGATACTTTGGTTAAGAATTTCATTAGAAAGTAATTTCTAGACATTTCACCAAAATGGATATCATTTCATAAGCAACCACACATGTAAAATATCTATCAATATGTGAAAAAACACAATGTTTGTAACTTAAGATGAATAGTAATTAGTATTCCATATTCTTTAGTAAACAAACACTTCTCTTGGATTTTTGTTGAATAGCCCTGATAACTGAGAACATAAAGCCCGCAAAGAGACCGACTGTGCCAGCACGCAGTGTTTCCCCACCTCACCCCACCTCGCCCCACCTCGTCCCACCTTGTGTACAGCAGCTGTTAACATACCCAGAATTCCCAGGTGCTCTTCCTCTGCCTTCCTCACCACTTGTTGGCTGAATGTGCTGTCGGTGTATTGCCGGTACACAACTTTCTTATACTTTGAGCCTATGTAGAATTCTTCCTTATCTAAAAATGCATTTGAAACACTTAAAAAAAAAAAAAGAACACAGAGAAAGTTAGTCCTTGTAGTACTGAAAGTGGGAGTTGTAAACTTCACAAAGTTGGAACAAAAAAATATCATTTTGTTTTTCACTATGGTAGGTTTGTGTTTTTTTTTTTTTATTCTTAAGTATAAAGAGGCTAAACACTGTGGTAGTTTTTAATCATTTTTCCACCCCAGAAGAATGAATATAGCATTGATAACAGGTGTGGTAGAGAGGGTACATAACTAGCAGCAGAGTCATCTGAATATTAGCCCTAAATCTGCTGTCATTCACAAAAAGGACCTCTAACAAGTCTTGGAAAGTGTTGTGGGTTTTTTGTTTTGGTTTGGTTTTTGCTGGAGGCTAATGATGAGTCATTTGTGACACATAATGACACATAAATGACATATAACAACAACAACTCAAACCCCCAAACCCACTGTCCTGGAGTCAGTTCTGACTCACAGTGCCCCTCTGTCTGTTTTCTGAGACAGTGACTCTTTAGAGGAAGATTCTATTCATCTTTATCTTGAAGAGCAGCTATTTGATTTGAACCAGTGACCTTGCAGTTAGCAGCCTGGTACGTTACACACTACACGACCAGGACTCCTTCTTGTGGTTAGACCTGCTGTTTAATGCAACGATCTGCTCTTCTAAAATTTAGCATAACGTTTACATCTGTGAGAAGGAGAAGCGGGAGTTGAACAGTTTGGAAGTCAGAGCCTAAGGAATTACTTTTGTTCCTGTAACCGATGCAGCTCCCTTTCCCAGTCCCTGCGTGGAGAATAATCCCACTCTATCTCCACCGCTGCGATGTAGTAGGTCCGCTCTCCCAGGTAGTAGGTGGAGTCCTCCGAGGAGCGGCTGCACTTGTTCACAGTGTATTTTTGCTTCATGCCACCCACATAGTGATCTGTTGTGAGGCACTCAACATCAAAAGTCCCTAGAGTGTCAAAAGAAAAAGCCCGTCACTCTGTTGCTCTTTCTCTCCAGGCCAGATTCCCACCTCATTCAGTATCAACTCCAAACCCTCCCGGGCTTCCCAGAGAGTCTGGCTTCCATAGAATCTGGCCTCCCATCTGGCCACACCCTCTAACACCCTGTGCTTGCTCTGAGCCCAGGTATCACAGCCTCTTTGTTCTTCCTAGAATAAGCCCAGCGTGTGCCTTCCTTTGGGACATTACACTTGTTTTCTCTTCTGGAACACTTCCTCCCAAATACCCATGTGGTTCACGCCCTCCCTTCATTAGGTCACTGCTCAATTATCTCTGCCTCAAAGAATTTATGCTGATGGCCTGCCTAATAAGTATTTCATAGTATTTGCAACCTCTTGTTTATCTTCCTCCTTCAAGGTTTCACTTCCTCAAGCACAGATACCATCTCCTTTGTTCATGGTTGCATTTACCCTTTTGAATGAATGAAGGGAAATGGGACACTGGACTCATTGCCATCGGAATAGAATCAACTCACTGCTGACCTTCTAGTGGGCTTCCTAAAGCCCAGTACAGAGGGTGGAATGGCTCTGGTGGCCTAGTGGTAAGGAGCTCCTCTGTCAACCTGACAACGCAACTGGTTCAAATCCTGCACGGTTCAAATCTACCTGATGATCCACGGGAGAAAGACAGGCAATCTCCTCCTGTGTGATTTATTGCCTCAATGAAGGTCAGCTCCAAATTGGTCCTAACTCTATGGTTCATGACAACACAACCGCAACAATGTTCTAAAGTCAGGATATTCAATTGTTAGCAGCCAAGCCAACAGTGTGAGCACTCAGTGTCTACACTGCATCTGGGCTACACAGAGAGGTAGGAAAGCTTAGGTACAGAGCCTTTCTGGGAGCCAACCCCCTGCCAGTCTGATTTGCCAGCTGTCTCTGTAAAAGGATCCTATTAGGAAGGGGCATTGTATTGAGAATTCTGCTCTGTGGGAACGGAGAAAATCCCAATCCACCATTTTCTTTTTTTCTTTTTTTTTCTTAATTATATTTTATTAGGTAAAATAAATTACCTTGGATAAGTTGCCAACATCTTGTTTTTGAAGGATGAGAAAGCTAATTAACTTTACAGATTTTGCATTTTTAAAAAAACGTTGCACAGTCTCTCTCTCTCTCTCACACACACACACACACACAGAGCGTTTCACACTGTGTAATAATACATATATATTATGTTTTATATATATAATTACTATTGATCTATGCTTTATTATCCCATCTCTGTCACCCAGGCAGACATATGCACACCCATGTTTGCAATAGCAAAGATCTGGAAACAAGGCAAGTGCCCATCAACAAACAAATGAATAGAAAAGCTCTGGTATAGTCATACAATGGAATTCTATTCAGCACTGAAAAACAAGGAACTCATGAAATATTATGCAAAATGGATGACCCTGGAGGACATTATGCTGAGTGAAATATATCAGTCACAAAAGGACAAATACTTCATAGGGCCACTGTTGTAAAATGGGACTGACACCAGGGTTCAGTAACCCACCATATTCTTGAGCTTCCCCACTCAACAAGCAGGAAGTGGGCTTGTCTGGTATAGAATTGCTTGGACACCTGACCCAGATAATGTTCTTCTAAAGGAGGGCAATGTCCTCGGGAGGGGAAGGTATAAATGCATCACTCAACATGTCTGCCATGGGATTTTGAACCTAACCTGCACTAGTTAATCCAGCAAAGGTCTGTCTTGTCTTTAAAGACGATACCTTCAGTGTCGGGATTCATGAGGAGTGTAAGAGTTGTTTGGGGGAAGAGGTTTGCCGTGTCCCTCCTCTCATCTTTTGACAGATACGTGTTTCCTGAGAAGTATATGCCGTGGACATCGGCCTCATTGCCAGCGCTGAATAAGTACCAAACGACAGAATCTCCTTTGCACATGTTGAGACCAGGCAGATTCCCATACATGAATCCATTTATGGCTGTAAAAGTTGAGAAAATAACATTTTGAACATGGTTTATTTTGTGTTCTGTCATATAACACCCCCAGACTTCTTAGAGCCAAGTTTTGCCTTTCATCCACCCAGACCTTCCCCCTTTACATTTGAGGGTTATATGTGGCTCCTCCTTGTACCTAACACTTCCAGGGAAGCCCTGGCTGTGAGCAGCAGAGGTGGATGTTAGGTTTTTGAAGGTTTATACAAGTGTCACCAGGGTTCTAGAAATCTTACTCTTCTCAGCAAACCACTTCTCAGTTCTTCTGCTGATCTTATTGATAAGTATAGAAATCTGGGGAAAGAACAGCCTTTTCTGGGCACTAAAGAGCCAGATTATGCTTTCTGTGTGCTATTCCCTGGCTTATTGTGAGTTACAAGGAAGACATTTCCTCTCATTGCCTTTCTTAAAAAATTAATTTTTATGGAAGTTTACAGAGACTTTGGATTTCCATTCATTCACTGCTGCACTCTTTCCTCCCTGTCCACCCTTCCCCCTACCCACTTTCTCATTGTCTTTTAAAACAGACAATATTCTGAACACCTCCAAAGTGCAAAAATACAGAATCAGACTAAATATGGGACAGATTATAAGTACTATTATCAGTGCCTACCCAGCTTTCAAAAATAAACAAAAGCAAACTGTTTTTAAGTCAACTTTGTCTTTTCTTCTTCAATACTCTTACACCAGCAGTCAGGAAATTAAGTCAAGCAGCATTAGGAAAATCTGCTGTCAGGAACCTCTCCAGAGTGCTGATCATGTCAGTCGATGTCAGTCTAGAGACTAAGACATGCCTGATCCAGGCCATAGTCTTTGCAATTACTTGCTATGCATCAGAGCTGGACAATGACTAAGGATAATAGAAGAATTGATGTCTTTGAGTTGTGGTGCTGGAGAAGAGTTTTGAACATATCATGGACTTCAAAGAGAACAAACAAGTCTGTCCTGGAGAGGGGAAAACTAAGTTGCTCCTTGGAGGCAAAGACTTTGAAGTTCTGTCTCACATACTTGGGACATGTTGCCAGGTGGGACCAGTCCTTTGAGAAGGACATCATACTTGGAAGGGTGAAGGTACAGTGTAAGAGAGGAAGATGGATGAGATGGATTGACACAGTGGCTGGGTAATAGGAGTAAGTGTGTCAGAGACAATGAGACTGGCTCAGGATAGGCCGGGGTTCAGAGCTATTGTGCTCAGGATGGCTATGAGTTGTAGTTGACTCGACAGCACATAACAACTACAACATTAGCTATAGTGAATTTCACATGTTTTCCATCGATCATTGTAAGCCTTTTGAACAATTAACCCACATCTCTAAATCCTGGTCATGCTTTAGAATCACGGAATCTGTCTCATTTCTATTGAGTTTAGAACTGACTCATAGCTGTTCCTCCAGTGGATTTTCAGGGGCTGGAAAGGACAAGGGAGGGAATGGTCAGTCGATCTTTCTCCCTCAGAGGTGATGGGTTAGAATCGCCAGAGAAGTATGGCCTTTGGATTATCAGTGCAACTCCTTACACACTAGGCTATCAGAATTTCCAGAATCACACTGGGGGTTAAAATATGTTCATTGTCAACTAAATACAAAGATGTGGGTGGTCCTGGGTGGTCCTTCAGCTCCTCAAGAGGCTTCCCAAACCCAAAAAACAGACTTACTGCCAGTGAGTTGGTTCTGGTTTACAGTGATTCTCTGTCATGCTTCTGAGGCTGTAGATTTTAACAGGAGGAGGCTTCCCGTCTTTCTCTTGAGGTGGACAGCAGTGCAACACACTAATACTACACCACTCGAGCTCCTAAGCTATTCTAATATGCAGTCTAGGATACTAATTAATAGAAGTATTTTAGTTGACACATTGGCCTTTGTATGTATTGAATAATAGGATGAACCTATCACTAGTGTAATTTGTAATTAACTATCACTTGATGTGTTTCAACTAACAGATGCATCCCTGGACATGCTTACCAGTCTATACCAGCAAATTTAAAGGACAGTTGCCTGACTGACTTTTGGAAGAGATCCATAATTGTTCCTATTCCCAAGAAAGGTGATCCAACAGAATGTGGCAATTATTAAAAAATAATATCATATCTAAGCAAAATATTACTGAAGAGCATTCAAAACCTGCTAGAGCAGTACATTGACAGTGAACTGCCAGTAGTTCAAGCTGGATGTAGAAGGGGCTACAGCACTAGGAATATCATTACTGGTGTCAGATGGATCTTAGATGAAAGTAAAGAATATCAGAATAATGTCTAGTTGTGCTTTACTGACTTTGCAAAGCCATTTGACTAGGTGAATCATAACAAATTATGACTAGCATTGAGAAGAATGATGATCTCTAAATATTTAATTATGTTCATGCAAAACCTATACGTAGGCTTACAAACAGAGCAAGGGAACACTACATGGTTTAAAGTTAAGAAAAGTGTGCATGAGGGTTATATTCTTCCTCCATACCTATACAGTTTGTATTCTGAGCAAATCATTTGAGAAAATGGACTCTGAAGAAGAGAATGGACTCTGGATCAGAAAAAGACATCAATAACCTGTGTTACACAGATGACACAATCTTGCTTGCTGAAAGTGAAGAGGACTTGAAGTACTTGGTGCAAAAGATCAAAGTCAACAGCCTTCAATATGGATTGCATCTCAACATCAAGAAAACAAAAATTCTCACCATTGGACTGACAGACAACATCATGGTAAGTGGAAGTAAAGAAAGGTTGAAACGGTCAACAACTTTATCTTACTTGGATTCACAATCACACCATTGGTGCCAACATTTGCACAGCCTACAGTCAAGGACATCTCCAAATTACTGAGAAACAATGATGTGATTTTAAGAACTAAGGTTTGCCTGATTCACACTATTGTATTTTCAGTTACTTGCTATGCATCTGAGAGCTGGATAATGAATAAGGATGGTGGAAGAAGATGTTGGAGAAGAATGATGAATATCCCAGGGACTGCCAAAAGAACAAACAGATATGTCTTGGAGAAGGTGCAGCCAGAGTGCTCGTTGGAGGCAAAGATGGCAAAGATGGCAGAGATGACATGCTTTGGGCATGTTGCTAGGAGAGACTATTCCTTTGAGAAGGGCATTATGCTTGGGGAGTTGGAGGGTTGACAAAAGAGAGAAAGACCCTCAACCAGATGGATTGACACAGTGACTACAGCAATAAGCTCATAGATGTCAGAGATTGTGAGACGGCATGTGATAGGGCAGGGTTCAGATATGCTGTTTGTCAGGTTGCTATGAGTTGTATCTGACTCGATGGCACCTAACAACAACACCACCACCACTATAGAGCCAGAGAGGAGAAAAAAAAAAAAACCCACATCAATTTAAGTAGTTCCTAAAGTTTTATGTGCATCAGGACCACCCGAGTTTGTTAAATACAGATTGCTGGGGCCTGTGCTAAAGTTTCTGATTCAGTAAGACTGGCTGGGAATCTGCATATCTAAGGAGTCCACAGGTGATGCTCATGATCACACTTTGAGGACCACTTATTTAATCAATGTATTTTTTAATATTATTCACAATTACACGAAATGATGTGTAATTGACCTGTACGCTAAAAAACTAATGATACTATTCTCAGAGCACTATTGAAAATGAAGGTACAAAGCCTCCTCCGCCCCTCATCTGTCAGGATGTTGTTTTGTTTTATTTTCAGGCACAAAGCTTTTTAAGGAATATTCGGGTGTAACAAAAGGATTGCAGAATAGTACTGAAAGACTGCGATATAATAGTGGGTGATTTAGTACTTACAGTGCATCTTATTAGATTCTTGAAATTCATCATCTTCTTTATTCAGATTAGGTTCAGTGGTAAACATTGCAATATTTTCATCCAGAAATAAACTCTCATTCTCATCAAACACTGTGGGAAACAAGTAGAACTCCTTGTCCACGCCTTTCTGTAAAGCAAAGCAAGAGTAAAAGAGTGACTGAGAAGAAAGCAGAGAGACTCCCATTATAGACTCCTATTATTAGTTGTCTACAACTCGATGTTTATATGTGGTGCTGGAGAAGAGTATTGAATGTACCACGGACTGCCAAGAAAACAAATAGATTCATCCTAGAGAGGGTTAAACCAGGCTGTTCCTTGGAGGCAAGGATTCTGGGGCTTCGTCTGACATACTTTGGACATGTTGCAAGGAGAGACAGGTCTTTAGAGAGGGACATCATGCTGGGCAGAGTGGAGGGACAGCACAGGAGGGGAAGACCCTCTATGAGGTGGATTGATTCAGTGACTGGGGTAATCGGGATGGGTGTGTCGGAGCCAATGAGATTGGCACAGGATAGAGCAGGGTTTAGGGCTGTTGTACATAGGGTCACTATGAATCGCAAACGACTCGACGGCACGTAACAACAACAACAACGACTCGATGGCCCCAAACAGCAACAATGTAATACTTTTTAGACGTAGCTATGCTACCCATGCGTGGACAATGTTTGGTGGAGCTCCCAGTTTAAGACAAGTTTGGAAGCAGGAGTGGCATCCACTTCCTAAACAACATGCCTCTGGAAACTTTGAGCAAAGATAACAGTTATAGAAAGGCTTCAGGTCTTTTGTTCATAGGGTCATTATGAGTCGTGCTCAAATTGACAGCAATCGACAACAACAACATGCTAAAGGAAAGACAAGACATTTTAATTTCTCTTTGTAAACTTATGAAATACTCCATTTGCCCATGGTTGTTGTGTGCCATCAAGCTGACTATGACTCATAATGACCCTATGAACAATGGCCTTATCTTGAGCCAACCTAACCATCTCTGACACACCTGACCCCATCACCACAGTCACTGTCACTCCATCTTGTCCAGGGCCTTTTCTCTCCTGTGCTGGGCTTCTACTCTTCCAAGCATGATGTCCTTCTCTGAGGACGGGTGACTCTTGTCAAAATGCCCAAATATAAGAGACTGAGCTTCAAAATCCTTGCCTCCAAGGAGCAAACTGGTTTCCCCTTCTCCAGGACAGGCCTGTCCATGGCATGTTCAATACTCTTCTCCAGCACCACAACTTAAAGCATTTATTCTTCTTCTGTCATCCTTAGGCCTTCCTTAATATCTGCGAATATTATAACTCAACATGATAATTGGAGCCTCTGTGTCTCAACATCCTGATTCTTCTCTCCCTAACTGCCTGCTTTTCCTGCCCAGAGTGGTTAAAATGAACACTAATAAGTAAACAGTAAAATGGGGGCATGTGTCTTGACAGGAAATTAAGGACGTTGTCATTCATATTCATGAAAATGAAAAGAATTCTTGTAAGGCTGAGCAGATGGAAGCAGATTGAGAGAGGAATGATCTAAGGGAAGAAATAGGATTCCAAGTGAGTTAGAACAGGAATCTACTGAATCTCCATCCTTCCCAGGGAACGTGTTACCCCATTAACTCCACGTTCACTGCTCAAGTTAACACAGAAAAAAGGAGAGGAGAGGAGAGGAGAGGAGGGGGGAGCGAGGGTAGGGGAGAAGAAGGGAGAGGAGAGGAGAGAAGGGGAGAAGAGGGGAGAGGAGAGGAGAGGAGAGGAGAGGAGAAGAAAGCAGACAGAAGTGCTAATCTGAGTCATGAAACCACTCACAAGATCTAAGGATAAAACAAATGAGCCTCAGAGAATAAACTACATCTTCATCTCATTCAAAACCAACTTCAATGCTATCAAGTGAGAACAGATCCATAGCAGACCCTCCCATGCGTTCTCTGAGGTTGTAAATTGCATAGGAGAAGATTGCCCATTTTTCTTTTGAGGAGGGGGCCATTGGATTAAACTGCTAAAGAAACCCCACCTTTAGTTAGCAGTGTAATTTGCCATGCACTACTCAAGAACTCTTTATTCCTTCAAAACAGAGAAAAATTTACTATTGATCTATGCCTCTTATTTACCCGATCTTTTCAAGTTTCCATGAATCTTTCCTATTCCTTTACACCCCCTATATTGGCCCACTGAACTCTGCTATTTTACTTATTTCCACTCTTCCTTTTTTTCTGCACCTTCTCTCTTACCCTTTCTCCTTTTTACATATTTATACATGTCTTACTAGTTAGTCTGTTTTTACAATAATAGGCTTATGCAGTATTTGTCCTTATGAGGCTAAGTTCACTTGGTATAATGATTACTTGACTCTCCCATGTAGCATTTTACAAAATTGTTATTTCTTAGTGTTGCTTAGTATCTCATTGTGTGAATATACCACAATTTCTCAATCCATTTGTTTGTTGATGGGCATTTGGGCTGTTTCTGTTTTCTTGTGACTGAGAATAACACTGCTATGTACATATGTGTACATATCTCTGATCATGTCTTAGTTCTGATTTCCTTAGGGTATATCCTTTTTTTAAAAAAAAAAAAATGGGGTTTGTGTACTGTCGAGTTGGATCTCACTGGAACAGGAGGAGATTGCCCCTCCTTCTCCAGTGGAGCATCTGGTGGATTTGAACCATGTGCCTTTGGGATTGCAGTGCAGCTTCTTGTCACTAGGCCACCAGAACTCCCTACCTTGGGGTATATTCTTAGCAGTGGGGTAGCTGAGTCACTTGGGATTTTTATATTCAGCTTTTTGAGAAAATGCCAAACAGCTTTCCAGAATGGGTGTACTATTTCACAATTCAGTGTATGAGAATTCCAATATCTCCACATCTCCAACATTTATTACTTGCTGTCCTGTTAAACTTTGTTACTGCTACTGGGGTGAGATGGTTTCTCATTGTAGTTTTGATTTGCATTTCTCTTACTGCCAGTGATTTTGAGCATATCTTCATATGTCTGTTGGCCAACTGAATGTCTTCCTCTGTGAAAAGTCTTTTCATGTCTTCTGTCCAGTTTGTGTGTGTGTGTGTGTGTGTGTGTGTGTGTGTGTGTGTGTGTGTGTATTATCGATCTTTTCCTTATAGAAGCCAGTAGGATTCTGTAAACTTGCATTATGAGATTATTGTCTTACATTTCATTGTCCAGTGTTTTCCCCAAGTCTGGAAGTTTCCTTTTCACCTTATTGGAAAGAAGTTTTTATGTACACAACTACTTGATTTTTAGAAGGTTTCATTGGTTGATGTTCTCCTGGTTGTGTATTGTTCATCTCTTTCACGTCTGCATCTCTGCCCTCTGCTCTGTTTCTTGATGCTCTAGTGCAATTTTTAGTCTTTTCTGACACCCATTTTGTTCTCTTCCTTTCTCCTCTCTATATGTGATGACCTTTTGTTCTCTTCATGAATGATATCCTTGGTGCCAACAATGTGTCTGATCTTTGATCATCAGTGTTCATTGCCTTAAACTTATTGTTGAGATGATAGTTCACTTTAAAAAAAATGAAAATGGTTCATATACATTTGAAAAGGTACTCCATCTCACTAATAAGAGAAACACAATTTAATACTACAGAGATACCTTTTATCACCTATTTGGGCAAAGTTCTAAAGTTTAGCAACATACTTTGTAGGTAATCTGTGATATTTTGTGGGAATAAAACATTGAACAAAACTTAAAGTGAGGAACTTGACACCTAACAGAATCCTATATGTGTTTATTCCTTGACCTAGACATACCACTGCAGAAAGTTCTTTAGAAGTGGGGATACTGCAGATTTTTTCCCTCCCTCACTTAATTTAGGCTTGTGAGAAGGAGCCAGTCCCTGGAGAAGGACATCTTGCTCGGTAAAGACTTAACAAAAGAGAGGAACACTTTCCCTGAGACGGGCTGACCAGTGACTGCAGCAATGGGCTCAAACAGAGTTTCCTTCTTTGTCCATAGGGTGCGGATGTATCAGAACTGACTCAACAGCATCGAACAACAGTCAAGAGCATGTACTGTGACATTATTTGTAAAAGTAAAGACTGAAAATGATTCAAACTCATACCAGATAGGGAAATTTCTATAAACTTAAGCAGTCACATGCAGAGTAATGTCCATAATAAAGAGGAATGAGATATGTATTACTAGTGGAGGAACTTTCAGATTATAACAAATGACAAAAGCAAGGATTTATATTGATATATTTAGCAATAATTATATATATCTATCGTTCTACTTATCTACATCTATCATTATGTACATATAATATATAAAGATGTAATATATCATAAATATGAATGTGTTATACCATTAAGCATCTGAATTTGAACTATTGACCAAAGCAGATTGGGATAACAGTTCAACATATATGTACTACAATGTCTTTGAGTTGTAGCAGTGGCAAAAGTGTACCACAGACTGCCAAAAGAAAAACAACTCTTATCTTAGAAGAGGTGCAGGAGCAACCCCTATGGAAGGTGATATGGTGCTTTCTCAAAAAGTTAGAAATAGCTACACCATGCTGGACCCCTTAAGCTCAAACAGCTGGAGTAGCTCTAGAGATATATGGGTCTTTCACAAAACATTGCTGTACTGTGGAATGCTATATAGTTACAGTGAACTAAATTCTACTAAGAAAAGTCTCACACAATGTCAAGAAAGCAGCATTCTGCCTCAGTTGTCATGAAAAACAAAATAACCCTTCTCCTAACACAGCAAACCCAATGAATACCCCAGACATCGAGAACCAGAAGAAATATGTTGATGGAGTTATATGAACAGCTACAGAAAAAGATGCAAATGATGGAAGAAACAATTAAGAAAGCAAATACAACAGTCCAGAAGAAATGTTTTGATGAGGAGCAACTTGAACAGCTATGGAAGAAAATGCAAAAAGTGGAAGAAAGAATTGATAGTATAGATAAACAGATACAAGAACTTGAAAAATCGTAAGACAGAGAGGGTACAGTCAACACAGTCCTGGAAATGATAGAAAAATGTGAAAATGCAGTCCAGAATATTAAGACTGAAATTGCAGAAGTGTCCAACATCCTGGGTAGGACAAAAAAGTAGAACTGACAAAATGGAACAGAAAGTCAGTGAATTGTAAGACAAGAGTCTCACT